GGGCGTCTGCAGCGGTCTTGATCAGGTCTTTGGAGGCTGTCTCTTATACACATCTAGATGTGTATAAGAGACAGGGATGTGCTTAGCTACCTTCTTTTCCTGAATACTACGTATGGTCATTGTAACTGTATTCAGGTTATATTTCAGTCTATGTACAGCATAATGCTTGTACATTCCATGCATGTGAAGACAGTAGGACTTTTCTTGAGCTGAATCTGGCCTCCTTACTGAAGTCAGATACATTGCAAGCAAAATGCGAGAAATGTGAACGTTCAAGCTATGAAATATCTGCGAGATGTGTGCAAGAAAAATGCGAGAAATGCGAACGTTTAAGCTATGAACGATCTGCGAGATTTTTCTAGTGTTGTCTTGGTGCTTATATTTCAACAACAAATTTGTTTTCCCAACTTTTTGAACATTTTTTGACTTTTTAAAAGTTTGTTTTTAATTTTTTGTTGTTCTCTTTTTCCTGGGCTTGTGTCTGCAGTGGTTTCTGATCCACTTCTCCGTTCATGTCATGTTGGCGCTCTTTGCGGTTATCGTCTCTGTCCTCCTCGGGAGTTTTTTCGCTTATCATCTCTACCTTATCTGCATGAACACAACGACAAATGAGGTCAGTGTCAGTGTCAATGTCAGTGTCAATTAAATATCATGTTACCTGCTAGGCTACCAGAGTGGCCCGGGACCACTTGCCCGGCTGGGCAAAAAAAAAAAGAAAGAAAAAAAAAAAACTACTATTTAATTATATTTATAATTTTAAATTCCGTAGCGCAGTTGGTAAGAGGCACGCAGGTGGCATTCAGGAGGCTTGGGTTCAATCCGCATTGGCCTCATGTACCTTCTTGGGCAAGCTTGGCGCCCGCCACCTAGAGATATGCCGTTGGTCCCCCCGAGTGGCATTGAGCAGAGACTGTTGATGCTCACAGGGGGAGGGGACCGGAGGAGAGGCACACCATCGAAGAAGCAAAGCTCGGTCCTGATGCTACCGGCTGACCCCTGGCCGGTATCGCCCACCTGCTGTAGCAGGTATCGCACCTGCTGGTGGGTGCAGCTCCCGCATGTTCCCTCATTGGAGGCTTGAGCACGGATGTGGCTGCTACAGGGTTCCCCGTAATACTATAATGACAATAAAAAAAAAGGCCTGAAAGGCCGTCCTGTCCAGATTCGACAGGTAATTGAATTGGTTGGGCTTAAAGAATTATTTTTATTTTTATTTTTCGTTTTTTGAACTTTTTTCGACTTTTGCTAGGACCTTCTCGGTCCTTGCACGGCTGGGGCGCCTGGGAAAATAGGGTGACCCGGGCGGCCCCGCTGGTAGCCTAGCTTATAAATATTAAATTATAAAATTAGCATTCAAGATTGTCAAAAAATGAGTATTATGAATAACAAATTGAGGTAAATTCAATTTAATTCATTCATTGTTATTGTCAAGTTCATGTGTTTGATTTTTTATTTCTTAATTTTTTAAAAGGTGACATCTCACAACCTTAAGGGATCATTATTGAACTGACCAGCCCCAGGTAAATTCAGAAAAACGATGTCATTCTGCTGATCTGACTGCATCTGGATTTGAACTCTGGTGGGTACATCCATTTCAAGAGTGTTTATGGATGTACCAACGAAGTTATAGGCGCGTTGGAACGTGTTTTGATTATAATGTCACTTGCACATGAAAAACACAAATTATAATATATATTCAATTATATTGACTATGTATAAGAAATTAATAATGAATTAAATTATTTTTCCAGATGCATCAATCGCATTTCATCCCTCTTTTTTTCATGGATGCCAACATGAGGTGCTATGCTTGTTGGTGCAGGTCAACCTGTTGCATCTCGGGTCTCTTTCTTCTTCTTTTTTTTCTCAGAGGCTTTTTTTTTGTATTTTATAAATATTGTATTTTTCATATAGACTGTGAATCCAGGCTACCAGCCGGGTCGCCCAAGTCACCTTGTTTTCCCGGGTGGACCGGCCGTGCAACGACCGCCGAAGGTCCCAGCAAAAGAAAAACAACAACATGGTATGCAGAAAAATATACCGAACGACTTTTGCCTCAGGGTCGCATCAAAATTCTTTACCAAATTTCATTTTATGAAATTTTTATCTTATTTTTTGACCCGGCCGGGCAAGTGAGTGCTTATGTGTGACATATCAACAATCTCCGCGCATTTTATCTTTTTTCCTCACGACGTTTTTTTAACTCGTTTTTTTCCTCAGACCACCCGGTCATGAGGGAAAAAAAGAGTTAAAAAAACGTCATGAGGAAAAAAAAGAGTTAAAAAACAAACTGATTGAGACAATGAGACATGATTCGTCGTCCAATGATCATTCCTCGACCCTGTGATCTGTACACTCTGCCAACCCAACGTGTGTAAGTGGTGGTCCCGGCCCACTCTGGTAGCCTCGATGTCAACTGATTTGGAGTTTTTTGGAGTTTTTTGGAGTTTTTTTTTTTTTTTTTTTTTGGAGTTTTTTTGATTTTTTTCGGTTTTTTTGGATTATGTGGCAGACATACAAATGGGCAGAGTATAAAGAATGGCTCGTTCAGCAGAGCGTAGAGAAGGCAGCACTGGCAGCAAAGAAGAACGCGGAGGCAAGTCGAGAATCCCGCACGGACGCAGCTGACGATGAATCTGCAGCCTCTGATACGAATGGGGACGGAGGACTGTTGCCCTGGAGTTCGTTGCTGCAATGGTGCCAGCGAATGTGGTCCATTTTTCAGACAAAAGTGGAGATCGCATTTTCCGAACCTGTTAATGTGTATGACAGAGGGTGGAGAGAGAATTTTCGGGAGGTGATTTTTCCACCCTCCCTCCGAGAGAAGTGATATCATTGAGGGAAAGGACGGAAGGTGAAATTTCGGGAGGGCGCCCTTTTCTTTACGGGAGCTGTTTTCGACGGAGGCAGACTATTTCCGTTTCCGCGACCATCTCTGTCGAGTTACGTGTCCAGATCTTTGTGCAAGGAGCTGTTATAGATGTTGTGGGCCCTGTCCTCCAAGACATCCGTTAAAAGGATTGGAACGGTACAGAGAAAGAGGAGATTAGCATGGCCCCTGCGCTTTCAAGGATGACACGCATAAATCGGGAAATGTTCCAAATTAAAAAGGGAAAAAAAAAAATATGGGCATTGTGGCCAACCTTAAAAAAAAAGAAAAGAGAGAGAAAAATAAAAGAAGATGGTGTGGCCAACCTACGTTATTAGTTCAGGAAGGGCCGGCCGGTGTTGAATTTACACTTTTTTTTTTGTTGAAAAAGTTCATCTTTTTTATTAAGATATACAAGTTGTGAAGTCGAAAAAAAAAAAAAAAAAAAAAGAATCAAGCATTTAGAATTTCTGGAACTGAGTACGAATGGGGTGTTTATAAGCTCAAGCCT